CTGCAGCCTGGCCCCAGCAGCTCCTGCAGACGCCCACACTGTGCTGGGCTGTCGTCATCCCTTCTACCTATCAGCAGATTTCAGGATAGGTGTCTTCTGCCCAGAATGTAATTAAAGCCTGCCTTGGAGCACACCCAAAGAGATTAGTTCTTGGATGTTTCTGTCCCCAGAATCTCAGGTTTGTGGCTGGAGGAAAGCTGGGTGGAGCTTTTGGAGAGAAGGGGTCCTGCTCACTCAGTCACTGCACCATGCAATTTCGCCTTCTTCCATTTACTCCTTTGGATTGAGTGTGTATTAGGCCAGGAGAAAGAAAAAAAAGAAAACAGCTTTCTTTTCGCCCAGTAAGGAGTCTTTGGGGTTTGCTCCATCCTGGATGAACCCCAGCCTCCCAAGGCATCTCCTGCGCTCGGCACGCTGCCCTCCTCCCCTCCTGCCAACCACCTGCCTCCCTCCCACATTTTCTTTAGTTTTACATACGCCGCCATAGGGGAGGGTGGAAACTGAAATAAACAGAAAAACAAAAGCAGCTCATGCACTTCTCAAGGCCTAAGTCAGAAAGAAGCAATTACCCATTAGAATGAAACAAGCTGAGAAATTAAAAGGGTAACACGTCAATAATAGCAACGTGTGTTGTGTTTAACACCTTTCTCCTCCTGCCTGACCTTACATGAAGCCCCCCCAGCACTGGGGCAGTGCCTGCCTGCAGGACACGGCTGCAGAAGTGCTGTTGCGCAGTGCTGTGCTGCTGCCTGCACGGCTCCCAGGAGAGCTGGCGCTGCTCCCACCCCCTCCTCCTCTTCCCCCCGGGTTTGTGAGTGCAGGTTTGGCAATCCTACCCCAGGGTCACAGCGGGATTTCAAGTTCTTTGTGATTACAGGGCTCGGGTGAGTGGAAGGAACGAGATGTCCGTGCGCTTTATTTCACTGACAATCAAAGAACTGCTTCAGAAAAGCTCCTTTTCCTCTCCACTCTTTTCATCAAAGAGCTCATTTAGCCAAGCGCCTTCAAGTGGGGAGCAGCCAGCAGGGCCTGCCTGGTGCCAGCCCCACGGCATACAGCCCTCCCCATTAGCAGGATCTGGCCCACCCCAAGGTGACACGGCCACCAGCGCTCTCCCTGCAGCACACAGCCCCATGGCAAACTCCCCGACCAGCTGCTCTGTCATCCCACCAGGGTCCAACGGTTTCAAATGCACGTCCACATGCTGTGTACAAGCCAAGAAGTCAAATGCTGATCTATTTGTTTAGACCAGACGTCACATGGAACAACAAACAGCACCCTGGCTTTTGTCCAGCCCCAAGTCAGGCCCATTAAAAAGATGAGTGCTGCCCGCTCCGCCCTTCCATCTCCATCTGTCTCACTCATGTAAATGTATTCAAATGTTCACCCTAAAAATAAATCCTAACGGCCACGCAGACCCATTGCAGCAGGGCGCAGTCAGAGCGCTCAGCACGTCAGGGCAATTGGAACCACTGCAGCCGTGCAGGAAGGAGAGAGGTTGGTGGGGAAGTGACAAGACGGCAGTGACAAACAAGGACACCAAAGTTCCTGCAGGCAGAGTGCCTTCCGTATTTACATGCTGACAGGACTTCCGTAATGACAGGGGTGCAAGCTGGGGAAGTGCAATATTAACAGAGCACCAGCAAAGTGTGGACAGATGGATGAAACATCCATCAGTGGACTCCAGGTGCCACGGGGGAACCAGGTGCTGGGAGCTCCAGGCATGCCTTACCTGCCCCTTGCAGCTCATGGTGCTGCCAGCCGAGCTTCGTGCTGAGATGCAGATGGCCGTGAGAACACCTAGCGGGGAACAAAAATCACAGGGTTGATTTGTTTGCTGATCACAGGCAGCCCCCACCCAGCCGGTGGGGCAAAGCTCAGCCCCACTGTGATGTCGAAGCACGTGGCTGAGATCCTCCTGGTGCTGGTTCAGGGGCAAAATCCAGCTGCAGTGCTGCAAACATCCACTGTCACAGCAGTTACCATCTCCATGCAGCCACAGCACTGAACCCTGAACTGCCAGAAGCCAGCAGCTCAGCTCTGCACTGCAGTAAGCAATCCTGCATGCATGGGGCAACCCAGGCACCAAGCTCACTGCAGGCTCCTGCCAGAGTCCCGGTGAGGCCACAGCTGTGTCCCTATGTGCACAGTGCTGTTCCTGCATGCATGGCACTGTCCCAGCCCTGGAGGATGTTTTTGAGAACATTTCAAGTACAGACACTAATTGTTATTCCAGCCACCCCAGATCCTCCTCCTCTCCTGCCCAACCAGACGTCACACAGCCCCTCTGCTTCAGCACTAATAGGAAACCAGAGGGAAACTCCACCCAGCACCAACGCTGCAATGGAGCAGAACTCATCTGCAGCACATGCTTTATCTTTCATCCCCACAATACTTTCTGCTCCTCTCCTTCAGCCACAAGATCTACCCTGGACAAGGCTGCAGGGTGCAGGGCAGCACCCACACACATCTCAGAGCTCCGTGGTGCAGTGGTTTAACAGCTGCCCTGCTCCGGAAACTCCTCCAGCTCTCACCCTCACAAACACAATGTACACACGCACACACACGAACAGACTTGCAGACTTCCTTCCTGCTGCAGCACAGGGCTGTGCTGTGCCATCGCCTGGACACAGCCACGTCTGGGCACAGACAGCACCCAGTCTGCAACACAGCACTGCCTCCGGCCCATTCTTCAAAGCAGAGAAGCATTGCAAACTCTTGCAAACAAGCGACAGAACCAGTAAGAAGCATGATGTGATCCTAAATTAATTTTGCTTTACAGCATTCCCAGAAATAGCTGCTAGTGACTTCCTGAAATGACAGAGGTGTGGCACGGAAAGTTTTAGCTCAGATCCTTGGGCTTAATGAGGGATGAGGAAAAATGTGAACATCTTCACGGAGGAACAGCAATGACTGTGGTCAGCAAGACCCATGCCAATGGACCTCATGTGCACCTTTCTACAGCAGCAACGCTTATCGTGCAGCACTTGGGGCTGCAGTACCTGGCAGCACCCAGCAGCACACAGCAGCACCCAGGGGTGCAGCCCCATGTCAGCACTGAAGGAGGATTGCTGGCAGGGTGCATGGAGCCAGGTGTAGGACAGGGCCCGCATGCACAAAACTGTTCTGCTCAAGGGCACCAATGGCATTCACAGGAAAACACAAACAGTCGCTTTCAAGGCCCCACGTGACAAGAACAGCACCACACAGAGCGGAGCATTTTTGCTGATTCAAACTAAAGATGTGCTGTGGGCCACAAAGCCAGACACAGTAACAGGAACCAGAAGCCAACCCTGGTACAAACATATGGATTTTAGACTACTTGTGGGTCACGAGGGCCTTTGAAAATCCCCAAATAGACCAAGCAGCGCTGCAGTTCACATCTGCAGCAGCAGCACCACCCGAAGTGACAGAGCCACTGAAAGGCAGCACCAACCCCAGCAACCTGCAGCCAGCTTGTCCAGGGAAGAGGAAAGGCCCCGATGTGAGCCATATATTGCCCTTGTGCCTCTGTTCCCATGCCCTCGTGGCAGCCCTCTGCGTGCCTATGCACAAATGGAGCAGAACAAAAGACTCACCACGAGCGTGGGTGGTCAGAGCGTGCCATGCAACAGGGAGAAAAAAAACATCAAAGGTACTGCTAGAAAAAACACTCCCCATCTTCAGAACAGTATTTCCAAATCCAGATGCCAAAGCATAACTGTTAACGAGCTCCATTCCCGCATGCACAAAGATCATGGCTTTGCAAAGTAAAGGTTGTTTCTGCAAGAGAAACCCCAAACCTCAAATTTGCTTAAGAAACATAATCAAAATATTTTATTTCCCAGTGATGCAACACTAGATATTCCTGCCCCAAAGACACAGCTGAGCATAGGCTCAGGGCACGGCAGTGGCACCATAAAGCAGCAGGGCATGGGAGCTCACTCATACAGACGAGCTCTTTGGCAGATGCTCCAACCTCCTGGGATGTGCATACAGCAGCCTGCTGTCTGCAATGCACAGGGATGGGAGGGTGAGAGGAGGGTACCCTAAGAGTGCCCAAAGGGGAAAGCAGGGGCAGAGCAGCGTGCCTTTGGGCAGGGAGCAAAAGCCTACATGGAGTGCCCTGCACTGAGAATCGTGCACTGCCTTGTGCACACTGCAGCACTGCGTGCACTGAGCACCCTGCAGTGAGCATCCTGCACTGGGTGCTATGCACTGAGCACTGTGCGCCACCGCCTTGTGCACATTGCTCAATGAGCATCCTGTGCTGAGTGCCATATACTGAGCATCCTGTGCTGAGTGCCATTTCAGAGTGTCCTGCACTGGGTGCTACGCACCGAGCATCCTGCACTGAGCTCCATGTACTGAGTGCCCTGCACCACCACCTTGTTCACGCTGCTCACCAAGTGCCATATACTGAACACCTTGCACTGAGCATCCCGTACTGAGCACCTGCATTGAGCACCATGCACAGAGCACCATGCAGAGTGCCCTGCACTGAGCACCACGCACTGAGCACCATGCATTGAGCACCGTGTACAGACCGCCCGGCACCACCCCGTGCACCCTGCACTGAGCACCGTGCACTGAGCACCGTGCACCGCGCTCTACGCACAGAGCATCCAGCACCGCGTGCCCCCGCATCACCCCGTGCACACTGCTCACCGTGCATCCCGCACCGAGTGCCATACACTGCGCCCCGCGCACCGAGCGCCCCGCACCACCCCGTGCACACCGCTCACTGCGCGCACTGTGCACAGCGCGCTCCGCACCGCCCGTCCCCGCTCCCACCTGCGGCTGTCGCTGCGGTTCCGGTGCCGCCGCTCGGACCGGGCCGGGCCGCGCTCCCCGGGTCCGCCGCCGGAGCGGAACGGAGCGGCGCTGAGATACGGCGACGTCACGCGCAGAGGGGCCGGGATCCCCGCGCCGCGCGCCGCCCCACCGCGCATGCGTCCCCTGGCGTGCACGCGTGTGGCCGCCTTGCGCGTGCACGGCGCGAGCGACTGGACGTGCGCGCGGGTTGTGCAAACGGCACGCGGGGAGCGGCGCGTGCACGCTGCCGAGGCCACGACTGCAGCGCTGCGCTCCTTGCACGCCCGTCCCGTCCCGTCCGTGTGCTGCGCGCACAGATCTTGCGGTCAGGGTAGCGTTGCACGCATGGTTCCAAGCAGAGCTGCGTGCACGGCTCCAGGCAGTGCTGCACGCACGGTGCCCAACAGAGGGGTGGGGGAATGCAGGGGCTGCCCCTGGGGGGAGGGGGGGTCTCACTTTGAGGTTTGCAGGGAGGGAACGGAAGACGAGCCCGAGCGGAATGGGAGCAAAGGGAAACCGGGCGACGGAGCGCGTCCTGGGACGCACGCAGGAGGCAGCTCCATCGTCTGATTTTTTTTTTAATTTGCCTCACAACGTCGAGTACACGCGGCGGCGGCGGTGGCGCGGTCGGTAGACACGGATAGTGCAGGGGGAGCGCGGGGCGGGCGCGGGGCCGCGCTCAGTTGGAGGGCGCCTCGGGGGTGACAAAGGTGCCCTTCTGGTCCCACTGCATGTCCCGGATGCGGCGGATGGACTGGATCTGGGGCTGGAAGGCGCACCACTCGTTCCAGTGCCTGAAGTCCCCGGTCTCAAAGAGGTACTGGTAGCCGCGGTACCCGGGGTACTGATACCCGACCCAGCTGCGGGAAGAGCAGACGGAGCGCTGAGTGCCGTGCACAAATCCCCCTCCCCTCCCCCGGTAGCCCCCGGTGCAGCCCCGGCTTACGTTCCGCTGGGCACCTTCACGCTGCCCACGCGGTCGCAGAAGCCATAAGCCCAGAGGCTGGGCACGTCGTCCTCCTGGATGTCCATCTTGTTGCCCTTGAAGTCAGCGGACTCGTACAGGGAGATCTTGTGGTCCTCGGCCTCCTGGGGGGGACAGCGGCGTTGGGATGGGCGGACGGTGCCCGCAGCACGTGGTGTGCTGAGCACTCACCATTCGGATGGGACGCATGGACATGAAGCAGTCGCTGCGGTAGCTGCTGGACCAGGTGTCCCAACGTGGGTACTCGCCCTTCTCCAGGATGAACATCTCCCCGCGCATGTTGGCTTGTTCATAGGCCACCCAGCTGGGGATGGGCAGGGTATGGCACATCAGGAGCCCTGCAGCACTACAGGCACTGCCCAAAGAGCAGCTCTGCTGCAAGGCCCTGGGGTGGCACGCTGTGTGCCACGCTCATCCCTGTGCTCCTGGTGCGTTTGTTCACCTTTACATCATGGAGCACAGGACCAATGCTCCCAAGCAACCCGCTGCAGTATGCACCTCCAGTGTCACCCAGGCTCAGGGCTCAGTGCTCACACAGTAGCAATGCCACCTTTTTGAAGGGCCACCTTGTGGCAGCCAGCACCAGAGGATCCCCACATTCACTGCTGAATGTTTCCTTCCAACACAGGGCTATTGCTGTGGGGATTTTCCTGATGGCAGGAAATAGGTCAGAGTACTTTGGGCACTACAACCTTACACTTGGCTGATTTTACTTTTGTCTTTCCCTGAGCAAAAGCTTTGGGTGCCGTCCCACCAGTGGCTCTCCAGCAGACCCTGAGGATTTGGAACCTGTCCCCCATTGACCTTGTGTTCCCAAGTTTCTACCCTTACTACTGCTTCCCAGGCCTCATCCCACCTCCCCAGTGCTGCTTTGGCCCCATTCCCTGCCTGGCTCTGGCCCAGGGTTGCTGGGTTCCCACTGGGTCCCCACTGTGTCACTCACGGTCCGGAGCTGACGATGACACTGCGCACTCTATCGAACCCGCAGTCTGCCAGGTTCAGGCACTCACTGGTGAACTCCATCTGCCTGCCCTGGAAATTCTCCTGCTCGAAGATGACAATCTGAGGGAGAGCAAAGGAATCAGGCCCTGAACTGCTGCTGTCCCTCTCCCTGACACTTTGTCTTTCCGCTTGGGGACATGTAGGCTTACCCTGAAAGCTTCTGTGGAGGGCTCTTCCCCTTTGCTGTTGGTGACAGGAGTGGGGTCGGAGGATGGAGCTGGTGCCGGGGCCGCCTTCTCCTTGTCCTCCGCAGCCTGGCCGGGAGCAGCGGTTTTTGTGGTCTCAGACATCGCGGTGGTCAGCTCGGGTCTGGGGACAGAGGTGCCAGGGGGGTCAGTGGGGACACGGTCCCAGTGGCGGTGCTATTGGGGTGGGGGTGAGGAGCTTCCCCAGGCACACAGGACATGGGTCCTGCCTTGGCCACAAGAGGTGCCTGCTGCCCACAATTCCCAGGAGAGCCCTGAGCGTGGCCCCATCGCTGGGGATACCCGGAGCTCCCTGGGGTCATCCTGCACAGGCGTGCGTGGGAGCACAGCAGGCAGTGGGACAGCCCTGGGGCCACCGATAGGTGGTGGGGTGGGAGGAGACAGCCCTGCTTTGGCGTGACCTGCAGTGGGCACCCCATTGGTGGCACCACAATAGGGAGTTCCAGGGGGAGTGGGATCCTCCTTGCACCCCCCAGTACCGTGCTGGGTCAGGGTGCTCCAGGAATGGTGGGCACAGCATGGGCAGAGCCGAAAACCCGCATTTTCCTCTCCCCCCCTTGGGACTGGCTGGAGCAAGTGCCACCGCCCGGGGACTTTCTCCTCTTACCTGGGCAGCTGCTGCTTCTTGTTGGAGGGAGCAGGCTTGTGTTTCGGGGTGCAGCGGGGCCCCCACTTTATAGCCTGGCAAGGGCAGAGCGCAGGCGGGTACACAATGGAAGTGCCAGCTCATCAGTGTCTGTGCGGCCGCCCAGTCATCACATCCTGCAAAGCTCTGGGCGAGCTGGAAGCCTCTCCCCGGCCCTGTGCCCAGCCGCTGAACCCAGCACTTTCCTTTATCCAGAGGCACAACAGAAGACCTGACCGCGCCACTTTGCCACACGCCGACACCACGGCCCCGCACAGGGCATATATACCCCTGGAGCCCACCAGCACCTGGCTCCAGCACTGCTGCTGCTGCTGGGCATTGTACACCAGCCTGTGGCTGCCCCCAGGCCCAGCCGGTGGGACCAGGCAGGGCTCCCAGCCCCATCTCTCTGGCCCTGCAGGTTTCTGTCCCAGCACCTTGGGCATACCCAGCTGTGCACTGAGCAGCCTGACCCTCTGCTTCCTCATTTTTTCCCTGAGCACTACCTGTCTTGCTCTAAACATCCCTCCATACCTACACAGACCTCCCACGGTCTTGGGCAGCGCCAAGGAACTGAGTTGCGAGAATGCAAGACTGTAAAAAAGAATGCAAGATTGTGAAATGCTTTGAGCATTGCTTTTGTGTTTGCTTTTTAATTTTTTTTTTTTTTTTCCACAAGTGATGTGTGGTCAAAGCAGGCATTTTCTGGTATGTCTTAGTCCATAAAAGCAGCATTCTCCTCTAAGGATGCCACAGCTGGCAGCCCCTGCTCCCTGTGCCTACTGTGTCCATCCCCACTCGACAGCCAGTTTTCAGCACATTGAACACGTGCTATGCTCATTTGTACCATTCCTTGTTCTCCTCTCAATGTGCTGCATGGGAGCAAATCCCACCTCGGTGCAGCAGTGCTGTGTCAGCTGCTGGGAGGCAGGCAGAGGGGGTGAAGGGGGGGCACCTGGGAGCACCCTGCCAGCAGCCGCTCTCCTGTGCCTGCTGGGAGCCTGCAGTCCCATCAAACCCTCAGCAGCATCAGTTTGGGCTTTCCAGCACGGACAAAGTAAATCACCCATAGCCGTGCATTCGGTGAGCCCACAGCCCTCATTCAGAAGCTGCTGCTTTCGTTCCCCTCGAGGGCAAAGTGTTAATTCACAGTGGTGCGATTTCAGCAGCACCACCTGGGACGTTTCCTAAAATACCAAATAAAAAGCACTCATCGATCTCTTCTTCTCTCCTTATCGACCATGCTGTCCCCTGTTGCACTGCTGGATGTGCTGCATTGCTGCTGCTCTGAGCTCTCCCCAGGGTCCACTTCCTTACCGTCATGGTGGACAGTTTTCATGACTCTTGGCTTTCAATTTGCATTCATTTTCATGGTTGTTAGACACCTTTCTATTTTAAGCTTATTCTATTTCTTCCTCTTAGAGCCAGGTGTTTTCTTAACCGCACTGCTGTGCTGATGCCTTCTGAGTGCTGATATCCAGCCTCCACCACCCTGCAGATCCAACTCCTTTTGTCCTGCTCCTGCTTTTCTTCCCAGCTTGCAGCCATAGGGCTGTTCCTGCAGCTATAGGGGTGTTCTCTCCCCAATGCTGCCCCAGGATTATGCAGTAGGAGGGGGTCACTATGAGCAAAAGCAGAAGGTATTTAGGTACAATGTAGATTCTGTGGGCTCTTCCCAGGTCCCTGAGCACAGAGATAGGATCCATAAATCTTCATCTGCACCACTAGGTCCCTATAATGCCTTTACAAATCGGCCCCTAGCTTTGCCATGCTACTGTTCCAGCTCTGTGCTCTGTGCCTGGGGCAGGTGGAGGGCATGGCTGGGGGACATGCACAGAGCCTGGGTCATGTCACAGCCTGGTGTGCTGGGAGCAGAGCTGTGGTGTCCCCGAGCTCATTGCTCCCCCGCAGCGTTGCCTTTGTTCAGCCAGTCCCTCCTCCTGCCGTGTGCTGAGTTAGGGCTTTCTGTAATGCTCTCCTGCCCTGTCTCTATCTGGAGCCTATAAAAGCTCTGCCCGAGAGCTGCTGGCCACGCTACCTCCGGGCTCAGCATTCGTTCCCAGTAAGCACAGAAGGAGAGCAGTGCGGACCCCCAGCTTCCCCCTGGGCACAGCTCCTGTCCTCCTGTCCTACGCAGAGCCGTGATGATCCAGTGCCGCAGGCCATCCTCCGGCCTCTGGAAGGTGCAGGAAGCAAAGGAAGGCTGGGAGCGTAGCCCTGGCCCCACAGACAGCTGGCAGCAGGGCACCCACAGAGCCCTGATCCATCCCTGCTCCCCAGATCGTGGTGTGGGACGAGCCCTTCTTCCAGGGCAAGCGGCACGAGTTCACCACCGACTGCTACAGCACGCCAGAGCGCGGCTTCAGCACCGTGCGCTCCTTCAGGATCGAGAGTGGGGCGTGAGTGTGGGGCCAGGGGATCCTGTGGGGCTGGGGGTCCCCAAGGCACTCACCCTTGGCTCCTGCAGCTGGGTGGGCTTCGAGCACTGCGGCTTCCAGGGACAGCAGTTCGTGTTGGAGCGCGGTGAGTATCCGTGCTGGGAGGCGTGGAGTGGCAGCAACGCCTACCACGTGGACAGGATGAGCTCCTTCCGCCCCATCACCTGTGCTGTGAGTAGCACCCAGTGCAGTGACATGCCCGGACCCCGTGCTGTCCCCATCCATGGTGATGCGCAGCCATGCCAATGCGGTGCATCTCGGTGCAGGAGCACGGGCGCAGCCAGCTGCTGCTGTTCGAGCAGGAGAACTTCCAGGGCAGGAGGGGGGAGCTGAGCGACGACTGCCCCTCGCTGCCCGAGCTGGGCTGGGGTGGCAGTGCTGTGGGCTCCTTCCTCGTCTGCTCCGGCGCGTGAGTAGTGAGGCAGGGCTGGTGGCACTCTGCAGGGACCACTGGCAATGCCACCACCCTGAGACGCTGCTCCTTCTGCTCCATTCATGGCCAGGTGGGTCTGCTCGCAGTACCCCGGGTACCGGGGCTTCCAGTACCTCCTGGAGAGCGACAGCCATGCTGGCGAGTACAAGCACGTTCGGGAGTGGGGCTCCCATGCACAGACGGGCCAGGTGCAGTCCATCCGCAGGGTCCAGCAGTGACTGCCAGCTCCATACTTGCAGGCACCCCCCAGACTGTGATGCGACGGTGGCAAAGCTCAATAAAAGCTCCATTGTCCAATGTGGTGTGTTCACACTTGGAGGGGTATGTGGGCTGAGAGTGGCAGTGTGCTCAGGGGTGCCCATGTCCCCAACACTGCCAGGGGACTTGAACCAGCACTATGGCTCCAAGCAGACAGGAAAGGATACCGTGATGCCTGAGCCTTGCTCAGAAGGAATTAGCAGCTGCAAGGTCTGGCAGACCACAGCTGCATGCTGTGCACCCATCTCCATGCCTATACACTCTCCACCCATGCACACATTCCTCCATACCTTTGCACGTATGCAAACATCCATGCACACACCTGAGCACACACCTGTGCACTCATGTATGCACCTCCACACCTGAGTATGCACCCCTATACCCATGGCAAAACCCTGCACACCTGTGCACTCATGCCTGTGCCCATATACACTCTGCATTAATGCACCACCCCTGCAGCCATGCACGCAGCAGCAGTTTGCAGCCCTGCAGCATGGCAGCGCCCAGAGAGGAGCCTCAGGGCAGGGCTTCTCCTGCTGTCCCTGTTCAGTGCTGCAGGAGATGGAGGAAGCAGGTTGCTGGTGGGGGCTGCTGAGACAACATCTTCTTTGTCTTGTGGGAAAACAGCAGTGAGCTGAAGCTGGCAATGTGATGGGGAAAAAAATAATGGTTCAGAAATATTTCTCATTTTAGAAGAGCTCTGGAGAAAAAAAGATGTGATGGGATTAAGATGTCCCTTTTCTGGCATTTGCAAAAGAAAGACCACAGTGGAGACAATGCTTCCCTGGGAAAGGATCCTCCTCATAGGACATAATAATTAAAAATACAGAATAAAGGAGAAGCAGACAGCGTGGGGATGGGCTGAGCAAAATCCTCCTGCTCCCCCAGAACAGTTGTGGCAGCACGGCCTCCACAGCTCCATCCGATGTTCATGGAGCTGGGCAGTGCACCTACATGTGGAGTGATGCCACTGGGGACAGTGGGATGGCCAGGCGCTGCCCCTGGGTGCCTGCACATGACGCACTGTGAGGTGACACCCCAACACTGCAGCACCCACAGCTGTTACGCTCTCCCCAAGCAGCAGCCATTGCTTTTAGCCCCCTCCTGCCCCAACCCCCACCCATCATTTGGTGCCAAGGGGAGGGAGGGAGGGAGAGATGTTGCCTGGGCCGCATCTCCAACATTAACATTTCATGGGCGCTGCAGCATCCTCCTGCACGTAGGTAGGGCTGCGGGGCCGGCAGGGGCTGCGGGGGAGGAGTTTGCATGGCAATATCTTGCACAGGGAATCTCTCTGGAAAGCTCCAGCACAAAGGAGCTGTACAGCAGCCAAGAGAGCACGCAGACTACGGTCCCCAAGCCGGCTGCCACCTGGAAGCCAGGTAATGCTGCCCTTCCCTTTCCCTCTGCTGTTTCCTAATGGGAATGTGGCTTTTCTCCAGGCCCAGGGTTGGGGGGCATTGGGTGCAGCTCTGGGAGCCCCCCAGGGTTCGATGCCTGCAGTCCCGCACTGAGTACCAGCACCAACACTGATGGATGCACCGCTTGTTCGTGTTGTTTTTCAGAATCCTCATCGAGAATAGGGCTCGAGACAGGTAAATGGATTCTTGCCTCATTTTCAGTGCTGCTGGAAAGGAAGCAGGCAAAATGCTGGTTTGCTTCTTTGTCTTGAAACCACCATTTTCCTCCAGGCCTGGTGATGTTAGGTGGGGGTTTTAGAGGAGAGAGGCTGAGGGTTGCTCTTCCCTCTGCAAAGAGTTAATGTGACAGCTGCCGCCAGGCTCCTTTTGGGGAGCCATTTTCTTTCCCTCATTGTTCCACCGCCTTTGTGTGCGCGTCCATCTCATCCGGGGAGCCAGGAAGAATGAGACCCCCAACCCCGTGGGGACCCTTCCCCATTACAGCTCTGCTTCAGAGAGCAGCGGCAGAGTGGTGCGGGGACAAAGGGTGGCAGTGGGGTGGGAGACAGCAGCGGAGTGGGAGGGGTGGAAGGGTGCTGGGGGTGACCAGACCAGAGCCACTGCTGCGGGCGGAGGGAGGAGGGATCATCCCTCCGGGCAGAGTAACAACAATGAACCTCGGGCAGCAAACAGCAGCTGCTCGGCAGCTGAAGTGTGCAGTCATCGTAGAGCGGCCCCGCTGGGGTTTGGGGCCATTGTTGCTTTTCCCACATTGGCCCCACGCTGCTTGTTCCCAGTGGGATGCAGCCAGGTGGGATGTCTGCCTCTGCTGCAGCCCATGAGCAGAGAGGTGCAGGAACAGCAGTGGGTCTGAAGGCACTGCAGGGCATGGGGTGCCCTCACTGCATGGCAGTGCCAGCTCCCCTGAGGCAGTGCTGCATTGGGGACCTCGGTGCTGATCCGACAGCATGGTGCTGCTCCTTGCTCTCTTGCTGCGTTGCTTGCTTTCTTTTGCAGCTGCTAATGACTGACCTGAGGTCTGTTCACACACAGTCCCCTGCGCAGCCCTCGCAGAGGAACAGCTGGACGGGATGGGGGACGCTGCACAGTGCCCATATAGCCAGATTGCACAGGTAGGACACCTGTGGGTCAGGTGGGCACCTCTTGATATTACCCAGCCCTGTGCTCGCCCCGTAGTCTGAGAGCTGGCACAGGTCTGTGCAGCCAGGTTGTGCTGCCATCACTCAGGGCTGCTCCTTCTGCACCTGGAGCAAAGCTGCCCTCCCTGGGGTCCTTGGGTCACACCATAGGGCTGCGTGACCAGGGGCTGCTCCAAGGGGTGCGTGGCAGTGAGGTGGGGTCTGCTCCCTAGGTGCTCACAGCATCTCTGCTTCCCAGCACCACCAGTCCCATGGCTCTGCCACAGCTCTCACCCGAGGGCACCGGAGCACAGGGACGTGACAGCTGCCTGCACATGGACACTGGAGCTGCTGGCCACAGCGGAGCCACCTGATGCCAGCCTGGCTGTTGTGAGAACAAGGCTGAAGAGATGGTGGTGGCAGTGCCTGAGGACATGGGACTGTCTTCACATGGTCCTACCAGGTGCTGGGGTCCTCTTCTTCCTGCAAACACTCTGGCACTGATGAGGCTATCCCCGTCTTGGAGTCCATCTCTCATCCTCATGGTGCCAGGGCTGCACATCGCAGGGTGTACTCAGGCTCTGTGTGCTTCACCAGCACAGTGACAGCAGCAGGTCCCCACCAAGCGTTTCATCAGGAGGGCTGCATTGTGCTGACCCATCCACTGACACCTTCCCATATCCCATAACCCAGTGGCAAAGCCCAAAAACGTCTCCTGCTCTCCAAAGCCATGCTGCCTTGCGCGGGGACTAACCGTGCCCAGCTGTGCATGCGTGTGCTCTGCTCCTCTCCAGCACTAACCAGGTCCCCCAGGCACCGTGTGCCCCTTGTGATCACTAACCCACTAACACACCCACGCATGTCCTACTAACAGCCCCGCTCTCACTAACAGCCCACAGGCCTTAAAGGGGAACGGAAAAGCTGGGTAAGTACGGAGCTGTGTGGGGCACTGTGGGGCTGGGGAAGCCAGGCAGCATGTGGGGCAGGCAGGACAGGGTGGGCAGCCCCTCTGTATGGCCCCTGCATGGGGCTGGTCTCTGCAGCAGTGGGGCTGCGATGCCCAGAGTGCTGCATATGGTTCTGCTGCTGACTGGGAGCCCAAAATGGTTTTATCAGCAGAAGCTTTTCAGTTCCTTTTTAAGCCAGTGGATCTCTCTGTTACTAACACATTCCTGAACTGAATTAAACAAACTAATCGTTGCTGCTTTTCTCTTCATTTCTCTTCTAGTGTATATGTTCTCTAAGTGCGACTGACGATGCCATGCTTCTCTTTACTAACAGCCTGCATTAACTTCTCTTTACTTGTTTCTCTATTGCCTCTAACAATTATTCTTTGCACTTCAACTTTCCAGTGCTGTTGGCCATGACAGATGAGCAGTGGTCCCTACACACCCAGGGACCCACGGCTGCTGACCCCACACTGCCATTGGGTGCAGCACAAAGGGAGAGGCTCGGGCCAGGGCTGCTTTCAAAATTTCCCTATTGGCTTGTTGTTTGCTGAGAAATTTCCACGTGGTTCAATGAGTAAAAGATACTGAGTGGAAAGAGGACAATGCCAAAACCATGAGCAACAGCTGGCAATTGCCACAATAAACCAGCAAAGCTGCCCAGAAAGCAGCACGATGGCCATGAGCCCCCCACCCCAGTTCACCTGTCATGGAAACAGCTTCTCTGCATCGGTGCTCACACGCGGGGCAGCTGCAGATTCTGCTGGCTCTCTTTGCTCCCTTTTTCTCTCTGCAGTGATCTCGTGACCCCGATGCATGCAGAAAGGTGGTGCCAGCAGCGTGCTCCTAACTAACCATGAGGCTCTGAGGGCTGAGGCTGCCCATGGGTTGGTACTCACAGTGTCCTGCCAGCCACTGATGGTGACAGTGACAGTGATGGTGATGAGCTGGCCAGAGGCACTCTGCCTGGCAGAGTCAATGTGCTGCTAATGCTGGGGCTGGGCTGCAGCCCTTGCTTTGCTTTTTATAGGTCTGAAATTAGGTAAAACTCCCCTGCACTTGCATGGGGTTGAGGCTTCAGGATCCGGCCATCTGCCCAGGTTTGGCATGCAGTGTGTGTAGGGCATTGCCAGCATGCACAGAGCACAGCTCGCCCTGCATCCAGCAGACCACGGTTGTTCTTGTGCTGCCTTCGATCCCTGGGACAGGGGCCTGGCTCCTGGACCTGCAGCTGGGGAGCACCAAGCTGGCTGCCCCCTGCACCCCCCCCAGCCATGAGTGGGGAATCAGCAGCTGAAGCACCCACTGGCAAACAGCTCCCTATTTCTTCCACATTAACCACTAACAATCCACTCTCTGTCCTCAGCCAGGCTGTGATCAGGAGGAGTTTTTGGGCTGATGCTCATATGTTTGATTGAAGAGGGTGCCTGCTTCTTCCTGGTGGGGGAGCAGAGACATTGGCTCTGCATGGAGCATAGGAGCGGAATGGGGAAAGGAGCAGGAGAAAAAGGAGGACAGCAGGATGGGCCAGGTCCAGGGCAGGGCAGGGATCCCTTTGTGCAGTAGGTTCAGTGCCTGGGGACAAACCTGCAGCAATGAGCACCACTCCATCCCTACACCATGAGCACAGGGCTGTGTGCTCCAAGCCCTGCCTGCCTGGAGTTGCAGAGATGCATCCTCCTTTAATCTACCCCTGCCACCTCAGAACTCCCTAACCCAGCCCTGCGCTTCCCTTGGCTGGGAGACAGTCTGTTTGTCTATTCCCATTTGAGACCTGCCTGGAGATAGGTGGTGGTAAAGA